ATGTATATGCTATTAGTTGACTTATTTTCTAATAATTTCGCTCATTATTTTTACTTATATTAGAGTGACCGCTCGCATTCGCATACGAACTAGGTTTGGTAAATGTTATTTATCTCACTTCTTCCTTCCTACTAATTTACTCAGGTGACAACGGGAGTTTGCACTTTTGGGATTGGCGATCTGGCTACAACTTTCAACGTCTCTCAGCCAAGGTCCAGCCCGGTAGTATCGACTCAGAGGCTGGCATTTTCGCACTTGCCTTTGATCGGAGCGGGTCTAGGTTGATAAGCTGTGAGGCAGACAAAACAATTAAGGTGTTCAAAGAGGATGAGACCGCGGTACGTTCCCCTTGTGCTTTTGATCATAATTGGCTTTGAGTACTATTTTGCATTATTAAGCAAATGATGTATTTATTTTATTGGGCTACTAGTCCCGTCATTTCCTAGAGGTTATACGAGGTTGTCTAGTTCTACTAACTTTCTTTCAGCATGCATAAGAGGGCGAAGTATCCATTTTTCATTATCCATTGCTAGTTCAAATTTGCTTTTTACCCCAATTAGGGCCAATTTTTTCAGTCATTTTTATCTTCATCCTTAGGCTTCCCTGAGAACATAAGTGATATATTATAAATATGCGTTCCGGAATGACTATCTCACCTTTTAAGGATCTTAATTATAAATATTGTTTAATACTTATCAAATTTGCTTCCATGTATTTCTGATAAAAATTCTGTGCTTACTCAGTTGAGTCATTTTTCATCGTTATAAACTGATTCAACGACGAACTCATTCTGTATTTAAGTTGTGCATTTGAAATGACCTGATTTCTTTCGGATAGGTACCATTATAGGACCTGTCCTGATACCGATATAAAAGATAGACATGGAAAAAATGGCTTTGAAGTTGTGTAATAATCAAATGCAAATGCCGCACTTAGGGCATATTTGAGGTCTATGAGGATAGTGCACGATAACTAAAGCCAGTGACAAAAATGGAGGCGAGGCCGTGTTGAATCCCTTTCAGTGTAGAGTTCTTCCTGTCTAATGTCGGCTTATGATTGGTTCCTGAAGTTCTTAGCATGATTGACTATAATTTTGTAGGTCCAACAGTAGGCTCACCATTTATCAATAGCTAGATAAATCAAGTTAAGAGGTATCCAAAACGAGTTTTTTGCAAAGTGATTGTTGAAATATAGCTACGAGTGTCATTTAAAGAAATTAAATTGTAATGGGAAAGAGTATGAATAGGTCATTACACGCTTCTCAGATTAAAGACAATCAGTCAAAAATATTCAATATGCAAAAATTCATGCAATATGCCCATTAGTGGATGATATTGATCCTTGTTACCAGATAAAGCTAGTCTGCATTCATAGGCATATAATGATAGTTTAGATTTTTGAATTGCCTCACCACGTGTATATGTCATATGCCAAGCCTACGAGTGAGCATTTACGGATTGAGTCAGCATTTATGATAAACAGAAAAGTCTGACTTTATTAATTTAGTAATTTTTTAACGTTCCTTACCGTATGTATCAGGAAATATTGCGTATGGGCATCTGATGGACTATATAAAATGTTACTTTTTTACTATCTGTTGCTTGAACAATCACATATTTAGAAGTTGTTTGATCTTGTTTTCGCAATTTGGTCATATTGGTAGGAAGACTTAGAGGAACGCACCTGGTTCTGAGTCCATTGTATGCATAATTATTTCCAAAGTCGGACCGTGGACGTGGTACATTCCCAGACGTTT